GCTTAATAGTTAGAGTAGTATAATAGTAAGTTGAGTGATAGAAATATAGATTGGGTGACAACTGTATCAGTGGGACACCTGGGTAGAAAAAAAGAATACTTCTGTACTGTGAATATTGGTTTTACAAGTAAAGGAACCCTAATATAAAAAGGGGAGAGAAAAGTCTGTGTGTGTAGTGTCTCATTGGGAATATCTAGGGGAGTCTGGGTAATCCACCCTTGGATATTAAATGAACCTTTGACACATGGACACTGACTGGCTATGACCAATGTTCCAATGAACCCTTTAATGGTTTAGACTTGGGGACAGAAATATACATATATTAAGGAATATAAAATTACACTTCTTTGCCTACTTACATATCTAAGAAGATTTTAGTTCTTGAGTAAATTGATACACTGTAATTGTCTACTATTCACTGGATGTTCCTACTTGTACTCACATTTTTATACGTAACTGAAAGATTGATGGTAGTAAATAAGGCTGTAGTCAGTGGAATACTTTGGATCTGAATCCAAAAATATGCTTTACAATGCATTATGGAACAAACACAGCAGTGATATTTTTAAAGCAGCCTTGTCTTTTCCAGGATCACATAGTAGTTACAGAAGGCAGTTTTGTGATGCTAAGAAAAGACACAGCTGTTTTAAAGAATTTCAGAAAGCTGCTATATTCTCACTCCAGCATGCTACAAAGCATTTTTTTCTCCTTATGTTGTCTTTGGGTTCCTTATTATCTCTTGTTATTTTTGTGTTTTGTATTTTTTAAAAAACCTTTTCACTGTCAACTACGCAGAGTCGAAGGGAGCCTGGCAACCTATAAATTGCATCAATCAATCAATCAATCAATCTTACAGCTTTATTTATTCTTATGTTTCCAAGGTGGTTTTACTGGCTAGTTCTGTATCTTAATTCCTCAAGTAGCATCTATGATATGAACTATCATTAAGCAGCTGAGATTGATATGCTAAGTGCAATCAAAGTAAAGTGGTAGTTGCACGGTTATCCATTGTCTGGTTTTATCCATATTTAATAATTGCAATGCTTTGAACATGGAGATTGCCTTTAAAAATTAATTCCATTTCAAATGGTTCAAATTACAGCTATATAGATTACATACTGGAAATGATCAACTGGAACATATCAATATAATTTATGATCCATTTTTAAGAAATATTAGATACAATGACAAATTTAACAAAATAAAAAAAATTCTAGATCCATGTTTCTAAATGAAAGTTTTTCAGATGTGAAGATGAGTAGTTTTTATGGTAAAGTTTCAGAAGTCTTTTTCTGACTGTCCCCTCAATCCACCCCACCAAAGCACATAAGAATTTATTGGTGGCTCTCAATCTAGGAATGTGCTTTTCAACATTTAGAGTTTCTGAGCAGTTATTTAATATTTGGAACCTACATCTAATGTTCATCTTAAAATCAGAGGAAAATAAAACTGAGAAAGATTTTTAAAATTTGTTCTTTCTTCCTTCACATAATTAGGACTCTTCGAATATTACTATCTGAATACATACATTTTTACAAAATCTTGAACACTTGTTTTCTGTTCTTGCATAGCAAGCAATTTCTCTGAAAATTTATGCTGTAAAATGAAGATTAAAATGAAGTTATGTAAAATAAATTTAGAATTCCCTTCTCTGTTTAAAAGCAATTCATATTAAAAAAAATTAAAAAGAACAAGAGGAATAATTCCTATCGATTATATTCTTCTACAATAATTCCCTAATGAACTTTTTTTTTTTTTTATAAAGCAGTACAACACATCCCTTGGAGTTCCCTGGAAGGTAATTCAACATCACCCTCTGGGGGAGATGGGCAGCATAAAATTGTAATGATAATGATAATCATCATCATCATCATCAAAAACTCCCTTATGCAGCTCATCTTATTACTGAAGTCATGTTACAGTAAAAATTAGATTTGTTTTCCTCATTTCCTTGCTATACTTAATATATGACAAAATCTGTCATAATAACACCAGCAGATTCCACAAATAAGACACTGAACAATGTTTTGAAAAAGATTTATATTTGGCTACCTAATGAATCTCAGTATCTAACGGTGAAACTATACAAGTTAACTCCAAGTAAACCCCATTACTTTTAAGATAACTTTCTCCCAAGTTAGTATGCTAGGATAGCAACCTTACCTTACAAATCTATGTGCATTTACCTGGGAGTTAAAACTACTGATCCCAGTGAGATTTATATTTGAAAAAAATATACACATACGTGCATATGTAAAAAAGCGCAACATACTACTTGTAAAAGGTAAAATTCCTCCACTATAGTATTCACTAGACAACTCGTGACTGTTGGGTCATCATTTCAGAGATATTTCCTTACCTAAACGGAATGATCAAGGGCAAAAAAGCAGTGGGAGTAGGAGCAATTTATGACTTACTGCCAGCTTCCCCATTGACTTTGCTTGTGGGAAGCTAGCAGGGAGCATCAGAAATCTTCCTTCCTTCCTTCCTTCCTCCTTCCCTCCCTCCCTCCATTCATTCATTTCCACATATAATATAGGCTTCCATCATTTGCCTCCCTTCACAACCCTCAGCAGAGCCCTAGTGAAGCTTCTCCCCCTCCTCCTTGGCTGACCCACAGAACTGCCTACCACTTTGCTGGGGGGAGGTGAAACAAAGGGAGCTGTGGACTGTGAGGAAAGAGGGCTCACCCATCGACTCACCAGTAGCCCCAGCCAGCCCTACCTCGCCAGCAGGTATTCAAGTTGCTTCCTTATCCTTCTCTCAACGCCCACTGCTGTTAAGAGATTTCAAATTTCTACCTCATTTCCAAAGCAGCTAATTGCCACTTGCCCATCAGGCCTTCCTGACAGCCGACTAGGCGCATCAGGGATATGCCCATGACCATCGCGTGACAATTACATGACCTGGGCTGACCATGGTGGCACAACAGCGCAGAAACAGCCACTAATTCCCCAAATTTCAATCCCATAGGAGTAACGGGTCCTGGATTTTGGACGTATTCTCTACGTTAGCCCATTTGAGGTACCTTGGTTCAAAAATTATTGCCCTATGATGCACTGTTTCGCCCAGTTGAAGGTTGCAGACATGAGAGTTTTAGTAGTATATAGATTACATACTGTAATATTTTTATTATGCGACAAAATCAACATACTTCTGTACCTTTTCATTTGTATCGAAAACCTCAGTAAGTTCATCCAATTCTGTCAGTTGTCCATCTTCAAGAGATGATTCTGTTATTATTCCTATAGAACTGTTTCCACTTAGAGACTCTGACTTAATTTCATCAACTGGGAAAAAGAATGTCATGGGTACTACTAAAACATATCAAAATTAAAAATGGAATGCTTAACTGAAAAATAGTGCATTTTCCAATATTCCTAAAGTAGTAACTCTACATTTAAAATGATGTTCTTATGTTGAACAGATACTGGTGGTTCCAGATAATGCTACATTATTAATAATTTTATCAATGGTGGCCACTTTATATGTTCCAAGACATGAAACTGTAATTATCATAAGAATATGCCACTGTAGAAATTTGATACTGAGCCCTAAAAAGTACAAATGAAGATTAATAATATGTCCAAGCTCTTTTTAAAAAAGAGATTTATATGTTTTAAAAATCCAGGCTAACTTTTAAATTTCACACATGTACATACACACACACTAAAGAAGGGGAAATATTTGGCTAAAGAATAAAATTAACTGGAATGCAATCTAATGTTCTTAGGAATTGCTATGATTTGATATTTTAAAAGGATTCATACACATAATTAAGATACGCTGAATTCTCAAAAACTACAAATAAACGAAAGGATTCTTAGTTCTCTAAGAAAAACAAAGTATACAACAGTCTCCTGTTTCAATTAAGCTCCACAGAATCATTAATTATATCTGCTTCCATCCTCTGATCTTAAGACTTACGTATCCTGGTTCACAGCATGACAAACCTAACTCTAGGCAGAGTATCTAGCAACAAATCAATAGGAGAAGAATGATGCTAATCTACATGTTTCTTTTCCTTTTATATTAGGACACAATACAGTACTTCATACAAATAGAAGGCAAATCATGGGGAAGGGGAACATTATACATAAAATTTATCTTTGGTTTGGTTGTTAGGTGGACCATAATTTTCAAAACAAAAGCAGAGTTAACATTTCTCTAAAACAGGGGTTTCCTAACTTTTTCAGGCTGTGGAACCTTAGTTTAAAAAAAAAAATCCCAGAAGGCAAAGCTCTAGTGATAGATAATTGGCTACATTCAAGTGATTTTTTTTTTTTTTTGCCCTTAGTCTCTCCTGGAACCCCATCAAATTCCTGTGGAATCCTAATATAAAAATAAATAAATATAATTACTTTTCTTTGCAGAGCTGGGTAACTGGTAAGTATATATTTTGGATTGGGGCACATATACTGTACCTAAATCAAGCTTAAAGGGTTTAAGAGCCTTGAATTAAGAGATTTAAAATGTTTTTACTAGGAACATAGTCAATCTATATTTTTAAATATAACCAGAACATCTAGAGGACAATTTATAGTTATGGTTGTACTAACATGTTTCAATTTTGAATAAATTTTCTGAACATTCTTTAGAAATGAATTCTATGTTTTTGCTTTTCTTCCTATTTTACTTCTAATTCCATTTTAATTCAAACCCTAGAGCCTCAATTTCCAGCATTCAGATGTCAAAAACTCTACTTCTTACAATATATTTTTTCTGCTAATTACTCATTATTAATTAATTATTGGACTTAAAAGCAATAAACACTGGCTGCAATTGATTACCAGTTGACTTTGATAGCAACTTTGTTATCACCTGTTTTAGAAACAGAACTCAAATTTGGAACATACAGAAGAACAGTATACCTCTGAATAGGGTTAACTGCCTCCCAGATTGCTGAATATTATTAGTTCTCAACTGACATTGGCTTCAAGACAAGATACGAGATTCCTAATAGTTCTTATTTAAATTAAAGACTACCTGAGTAAGATGCATTAGAAGACAAAAGTGAATGAGGTGCTGGAAAAGCATACTAAAAGAAGCTGATATTAAAGATGAGTAAAGTAGCTTAGGCAGGGATTCTATAAGGAGGCTGAACAGGCAGAGTAAAAACAGTTCTGGTAGGCAGTGTCTAAGGTATCCCATTATTCTATTACCCCTGAATCTCTTCAAATCTTCTGATGTGCTTTAAAGCTATTATAAATTCCAGAATGTTATGGGAAAAGAAACATTACCCATAACTAGGGATTAAAATATTTTTGTTAACAGAAAAGCATGAGAGTACTGAATTTAAGGTATATGAAGAACTCACAATTGCAAGGTCAGAGCTATTCTATATTTAATTTCAGAAAATTCCAAAGTAACACATTCCAAAAGAAAAACAAAATTCTAAAAAACACTGAAATGCTCTATCCCCGGAAGTGAATTTTACAAAAAACCCACAAAATTTCACAATTGTTCTTTGCTATTTCTGGGGTAAGGTGAAATATTGTCATCATTTGATAGTGGAAATTAAAGCAGAACTTAAGAGAAAACTAGACAGAGGGCCATAAAATATATACTGTTGGCCAAACAATGTGCGAACATCAATTTAGAATACAGAGAAACACTGAATTAACAGACTGGATGTAATGACCAAATTTCTCTTTGGACTTTACCTATGAAATAATGGGTAATCCATTGTTTCCAAAATCTGTCTGGACAATTGCTAGGTCTGTGCATTTTGCACATATAATCTATATCATCTGCATCAATTTATATTATTATACAATTATGCAAATGATGTATGTTGACACAAATTATACAAATGGTAAGAACTCGGATTTAACAAATGATTAGATATCATTGACTCTCTCTCTCCTGAATTGTCAAATTTCACTAGGTTTTCTTTTGTATTTTGTTTTTTCTCCATTTCTGCATTTTAAAGACTCTTTACCTTTTATCAGCAAACCATCAGCATTTACATCTGATTTCAGTGTTCCATAATCTTGAATAAGGCTATCTCTGTAAACAAACAGATTTCATAAAATTTAAAAGAAATTTTATGTCAAACCCCCATCATCCTACTAAAACAGTACAACTAACACAGCTTGACTCATAGTTTGTTTCTTCTTGTATTTCATCCTCTTTAGGCTGTAGTAGCTTTTTAAAATTTATTTTCTGTGCCTTTAAGTCAGTGCTGACTCCTGGTGACTACCTGGACTAGTTTTTCTTGGCAAGATTTTCAGAAGTGGTTTGCCATTGCCTTCTCCTTAGAGCTGAGAGAGAACGTGGCACAAGGTCATCCAGCTAGCTTTGTGGCTAAAGTGGGACTAGAATTCATGGCTCCCAGTTTCTAGCCTGGTGCCTTAACTGCTACACCAAACTGGCTAATATGTAGTAGCTATACCATATGGCAGTTTCACCAACTTCAACTATTATAACAAATGCCTATAACTTGGTTCAGCGTTAACATGAAAGAGAGATCTGAATCAGATGCAAGCATTGGTATTTATAGGACTGAGGGATAAACTGCCATTGACTTTTCAACTAATTTGTTCAGAAAAAGCAAATTAGGTAAAGAATTATCATCTAGATGATATATCATCGAGAATAAATAAATGAGAGAAGCCTTTTAAGAGCCTGAAGGGAAGAGATTGGAAATGAAAAATGATCTTGCTGTGGGCAAGAAAGAGACTGTTCTACCATAGTTCATACAGCTAAAGCAGCAATATCTGAATCTGAACTATTGATGTGATTCATGCTATCACAATAATACTTTCAAGACAAAATTAACGTTTTCTAAATTTTGTGGCTCTTTTCTTATGCTTGCTTTTCATTAAACATTTTAATATTTCAAGAAAAATTATATATATATATATATGAAAATATACAAGATAGTTCTGGAGAATTGTTCCAATCACAAACATTAAATATTGCTTTCTAAAATTAAGCTCTTTTATTGTATTGACCTTATCTCACAAGGGTCAAACCTTGATTTAAACCATACTGATAGTTCACTGTTTATTGTTTCCACCATTTAAAATGGATGTTACTGCACCATCCGCCATACCCCTTTAAGCATGTAGATTTATCTACATGTTTAAGTGAAAAAAAATACAAAATAATGTAAATACAATCCTTAACATTTGAGAACATTGTCTATCTTCTATACCTATCTGTAATGTATACTGAAAAGAATCTGAACCTGAACAAGTCTGGACATAAACAGCTGGATGCTTTACATTTAAATGCTATAGCATATTTAAAACAAAACAATCATAAAAAATCCTAATTTTAAAAGACATTTTTGCTTCACAGAGTCAACTTTGACATGCTTCAAATTTCTCTGTGAACAATTTTACTAATAGTGTTAGACTAAGGATTATCCTTGATTACCACCACCACCCCGGCTCCAACACACACATTTTCACTGGACACACCACTATACCAGATCACTTCAAATTCTCCATTTCTAAGATTTTGTCTTCTTAAAGGTCTTTGAAATTAACTGTGCTTTAAGGAAAATCACACCATAAATACAGGTAGTCCCCAGTTTAAGAATGAGTTCTGTTCCCAAGGTCTGTCTTTAAGTCGAATCTGTATGTAAGCCAGAACAGTATTATTGTATAATACTGTATAAGTAGTATTGTGTAATGAACTTGAACTATTGTGTATTTAACTCGAATTTTGCTACAATAGGCTCCATTTTTAACTATGGGTCTGTAACCCGGGCATTCTTAACCT